TAATCGTACTAAAAGGACGATAAAAATCATAAATAATTTTATCTTCAGTCTACATTCCGTAATTGTTTTACACATAATATATATATATATATATATATATATATATATATATATATATATATATATATATATATATATATATATATATATGTTCTACAATAGAAATTAAGATTACATAGGGTTAATAATCATTTTCACCTTGTAAATTAAAAATAAAATTCACAAAGAGTTTCCAAACGAGTCAATGGATGATAAAGTATTGAAATAAAAATGGCCAGAAAGAAAATAATAATTTATCAGCCGTTGACTGGTTTGAAAAATGCTTGTAAATTTTATTTCAATTTACAACGTGTAAATGATCATTAACCTAATGTAAACTTAATTCTATTGTATAAAATATGTAGCTCTGTATATTTTTAATACATACATACATACATACATATATATATATATATATATATATATATATATATATATATATATATATATATTAAAGACATTTTTTTTAGGTTTATACGATCTTTTTTATGGATACGAATATTTAAGTAAATGCACTGTTTATAATAAACAGTATTAACGACATTTACCGGCCTGAATGTCCGATAAATTTTCATAGAAAATTATTATAAACAGACCTTTTACTTAAATATTTGTATATTTGTATCTATAAAAGAACGTATAAACAAAAAATTGTCTTTAAAAATAATTGTTTGTCCATATATATATATATATATATATATATATATATATATATATATATTTATATATATATATATATATATATATATATATATATATATATATATATATATAAAAAAGGCTTAAAACACTAATATTCCATGGTCATAATTTATTCCATTGGAATCGTAAAATGATCCAATTGATCAAACCTACAAATTCAAAAGCTATATATATATATATATATATATATATATATATATATATATATATGTTTAAAACAATTATAGACATAAATGTGTGTACATATATATATATATATATATATATATATGTGTGTGTGTGTGTGTGTGTGTGTGTGTGCAAAATGACCTTTCAATTGTCGCAACTCAGTGCTATCGTGCAAACACTGAACGCACACCAAAATGTAACTATCAACGTAAGACAAATATTAGTAGATAACAACAAAATCCTCTACAGCACCCAATGCAAAAAAAAAAACAAAAAAAAAAAACGCGGGCTCACGGTTGGGGTCTAAAAAATTCCTAGCTTTATTTTCTTCTAAGTAGCCTCGCTGGACACATGGTTGTAGCTGCTTGTCTTCATTGTATGTTTGTCTTCGAATTTCAGTACAAATTTAATGTAATTTACCTCATTTTTATTTTTATTTTGTTTGCTTTTGTTCGTACAAATTCTATATGAAATTGTTTTTCTTTTTTTTTACGTTTCCATTCATTTATCTATATTAACTGAAATGAATTTAGTCCTCACTGTTTTCAAAAAGGTTGAATTAGTTTGAATTTTTTTTTTCCGCTGACTCAAGCAAAAAAAAAAAAATCCGAATGACATGAATTCCCGAACACACGGATGAGGTGCTCTTTTCATTCAAAAAGTGAATGTTGGCAGTTTACCTAAGTTAAAAATTATATTCGTTTCAACATTGAGCGCCTTGCCCGCTGTTCATGCACTTCATGTAAGCTGCCTGTTTGTCTTATGACTTTTTTTTTTATTTTGCTTTTTTTTTTTTGTGTGTGTGTGTGTGTGTGTGTGCATATGTAATAGAAGTAGATAGGCTTTCCTATCGCCCGGCCAATACTCTTTCCTCTTCTCTTGAACAGGAGTATAGACTCATTCCTTGTTTCTTGTTTAGGAAGGGGTTCCCGGAACTTTTCCTTTCCTTTTCTCTCGCCTCCGTATTAGTACTGTCGTGATTCTCTTGTGATGTGTGCTGTCATTCTGAGGGTGCAGGGTTGACAGTTTTCTGGCTGTTGTTTCCGACTGGTAGTTAGGAGCCCTAAATCTTGTGTAGCGTCTTGAGCGTCTGCTCTGATCAACAGTTGGTTAATATCGGGATTCTTGTAGTACCATGTTGCGCATGGAAGGGTGTCCCTGCATGCAGCTCCGATGTGCAACCCCAAGGCCACATTATGTTGCAGGTTGCACCAGCTCCTTTCTGCCCATGTCATATAGGATGACCGTCTGCTTATTTCTGCTTCAGGCCTTCTCTTTTTCATGACAAACATTACCCAATACGACAACAAACGATCACAAAAGTAAACCTAAACCAGCCCTAAAAAATCACCTAAACCCATTAACATTTCCTTTTCCGACATCCATGGCATTCGGACCAACTTCTGCAGTGTGGAATTGCTTCTCATTGGGAACTTACCTGATAGACTGGCTCTCTGCGAGTCCAACCCTAACCTGTTTATCCTCTCTTCTGACTTCTCCATCACCGCTCTCCTTAGAAAAGACTCTCAACCCCACATGTATGTCCTGGGAGTTTACGTCAGGGACCATCTCCCACTGGCTAGGGAGTCCTCTTTCGAATCTCCAGACCATTCATACATGTGTCTCCGTCTATCTCTCCTCGATGCTGTAAGCTACCTCTTCTTCTTCTATCGCTCTCCATCTTCTCAAGACTATGGTGGACTCGATAGCATTTCCGACAATACAGAGATGGATATTTCTCTTCATCCGTTTGTGTGTTCGGTGACTTTGACGAGCACCATACCAAGTGGCTTAAAAACTTTATAACTGAACTTGATGGCATACAAACTCTTAAATTTCAATTACTCAATCCCTAAGACAAATGATTGACTTTCCTACACGTTTCCCCAATAACCAAGACGGTAAGGCCTCACTTCTCGATCTCTGTTTCACCTCCATCCCCGAGTCTTATTGTGCCATGCAGGTCTGCCCTCTTGGCAACTCTGATCATTTTGTAGTGTCTACTGACATCTCCTTCTACTCCCCCCCCCCAGCAAAGAACCTACTACCAACAGAACATATTTCTGTTATCAATGAGCAGAATAGGAATCGTTCCGTGATTTCTTTCGCAATGTTCCCTGGAATATGGTCTTTAATCTCTCCGTATAAAAGTGCGCTTCCGAGGTCTCCTGGGTAAAAGCAAGAATCGAGGCTTTCATCTCTGCAAGAAAATATAAAGTTAAATCGCTCTCGTCCCCTTGATTCTCAGTTGCTATTGCCTATAAGAATTACTTCTTCCGTCTGTACCGAAGCGACATGTCAAATTGCAATAGACGTCACTTTGTCTCAGCCCGTAAATTCAGTTCCAAAGATTATTGAAGTCTCTTCAAGAGCGTACTTAACAACAACAAATCCGCAATACCTCCTTTATTCAATCAATTTGAGGTTCTGACTTCCTCAGCTGATAAGACGGAATGCCTTGCTCGGAGATTCTCATCCAACTCAACGCTCGATACATCCGGTGTATGCATACCGGTTTCTCCTAGAACCGAGGCTCTGTTTAGTGAGTTGCACATAACCCCATCGATGGTATTGGTCATCGTCTCTAAATTACACTCCCATAACGGGATACCAGCCGTCGACCTGTAGAAATGTGCTCCTGACCTGGCTCCTGTCTTCTCCAAATTATATAACTATTACCTCAATAAATCGTGCTTTCCAGCCTGTTGGAAATTCTCTTCAGTTGTGCCTGTATTTAAGCACTCTAGAGACCTTTATGACCCATCTAACTACCCTACTATCAGTCTCCTACCATTCTTTGGAGCTTTAATCAACGCCGAAGTGGTTAAGCAGCTTACATGCCATGATCTGCTCTCTGACAAGCAATATGGTTTCCGCTTTGCCCGATCTACACCTGATGTGCTCACGGCTATAACTGAATGCGTTTACCAAGCACTTCGCAATAACGGATAAGATCGTGCCGTGGCTCTAGATATCTCTAAAGCGTTTGATAGGGTTTGGCATGCCGGCCTTCTTCGCAAGCTTCAGAGATACGGAATTTCAGGACGGTTATTTGACTTAATACAATAATTTCTGTCATACCGTCTAATGAAGTTCGTCCTAAACGGCTTCTCCTCCAGTTTCTTTCTCACGAAAGGCTCCCCAAGGCTCTATCCTCGGTCCCACACTGTTTCCGATCTTCATTAACGATCATTCCGATGTCTTCAGTTCTCAAGTAGGCATCTATGCAGGCGACACTACTGTTTACTCCTGCCTCAATAGCAAATCTGGTATCGCTAAAAAACTAACCTGGCCTTTGGTCTCGAAAAGGACATCCAATCTGTTCTTGATTGGGCCAGGAAATGGCTGGTTAACTTTAATGCCTCAAAAACAAAACTCCCTGCCTCCCCATTAGAACGTCTGAAGCTCAACTCAACGAGATCACCTCTCTGCGATTGCTTGGTCTCACACTGTCCGCTGATCTGAGATGGAACAAATACGTTGAATCAATAGCTTCATCTACCGCAAGGAAAGTTAGTTCTCTGTGTCGCGCCAGAAAGTTTTTCTCGCCTGAGTTCATCCTTGCATGGAATACTGCTGCCGTATATGGTCTGGTGCCCCCGCTGTTCGTCTTAGGGTCCTCGACAAAATCCACAGACGGATATGCAATATGATTGGCCCTGATCTGGCATCTCGTTTACGGTCGCTCTCTCACAGCCGTGCCGTCGCGGTGGAGTAATGGATAGCGGCTTGGGTTGAGGAGAGCCGAGTTCGAATTCCAGTCGAATCCATTACATTCACTTACGTGCTAATACCCTTGGGAAAGGTGTGAATCCTCTTCTTCTCCCTCCAGCTATGGGTAAATAGCAGGACTGACTGGGTTCTATAGCCTTGGATGGCAACTGGTCTAGGAGAAGGAAAACTCTGAATTCAAAACCTGCGGAGGGTCGTTTGGGGAACTTGTGGCCACCAGGTCTCTGTAATCGGCCCTTCAAAAAGTGTAGAAGTCCATGCACGAAACGGTCACCACTATAATCAAATCTCATGGGCTATACATGCGGGTTGGGGACCGCTTGCAAATTCCAAATTCCTATGAAACTCCAATATTGGAGCCGGCTCAACCCACCTCTATCTCTCTCTCTATCTATCTATCTATCTATCTATCTATCTATTACAGTCTGTTCCTATCTATCTATCTATCTATCTATCTATCTATCTATCTATCTATCTCATTCTGTTGTCTTTCATTACTAAACCATTAATATCCTCCTACCAAATTTTTACAATCTTGAAATATTTTCTGGCTTTAAATAACCTGCAAAAGGTTGAAAATCCGTAAAAACAAATCAGTTAACCAAAAAAACTTATTTGCGATCACTCCACGAGTGTTAATAGTACCACGTAACACAGTACTTCTTGCGGAATAGTCGAGTCCTCGACGAATAAACCGGCCCCCCTCCAGGTTTTTTCTTGTGTAGGAGGAGGATGGATACCCACAGGATGAAAAACATGTTCTGTCAATGAGTGGGTAAACGTTCTTGTAGAATCAACGTTCATCTGGCATAATAAGGTAGACTGGGCTCCATAGATACGGATGAAACCAATGCGGTGATGATACGGCACTGGTTCCAACTGGAGAGGGATGGGCTCCGGAAGGTCTATTTTCCCAAGGCCAGCTACACACGTATGAATACCATTCATACTTTAAACCAGGGGTCGGCAACTCATTCGACCCCGCGGGCCAGATCGTTTTATAATGACGGTTCGCGGGCCGGACGAAGGCCATTAATGAAAAATTAAGGAAAATTACATATGCAGGCCCCTGTCAACCTAAATATTTAAAACCATAATGAGAATAAACATTGAGAAATCTAAAAAACCAAAGAAAATCTAAAATTAAAAAAAAAACACCTAAGAAAAATTACTTTTCCTCAAGGAACGTCAAAATACTTCAAAGTGAAAAAAATCAACCGAAGTGAAATGGATGTAATTATGACGTGTAGGTTTGAAACTGTTATTGAAAATTGTTCCACAAACGAACCACACATATACACACACACACATCAAACAAAAACGACCACATATACCCATACATACGAGTACAAATAGTTCCAAACATATACACTTACATACGTACACATGCGGTATCATCCACACATTCATGAGGCATGTATGTATAATGCGCGTATGTTTAACTGTCTTTAGATTTCTGTTACCGCGCATGTCAGTCCCTCCCTGGCCTCTTTCACTTTATCGTTTCTTTTCGCTTCTGTTATCTTTTAATATAGCCAAGGGTCATAACAAATATGTATCCATTATTTGACATTAAACGTAGGCAACGCAACTTGGTAAAATAAGTCTCATGAAAGATAACTGGCAGATAGTCTAAAAATAGAGTCATTGGTAATCAGGCTCGCGGTCCGGATCCAACCCGAGGGCCGTAGGTTGCCTACCCTTGCTTTAAACCCATATATGTGGAGGGGGTGGTCAACGGCTCAACTGCATAGCGACCCTACGACGATGATGATGCTGCATAGTGAACCCACAATGATGATGATGATGATTCTAAGAGCCCAAGCCATTGGAGATGAAAACAATATTATTATTATTATTGATTGACTGATTGATTGATTGATTGAAAGAGTAAGAAGACATCGTAATGACCCTGGGGTACAAACATATGAGCATTAAAATATCCACCATAAAACCCAGTCTGATAAGGATACACCACGCCCATGCACCACGGGCATATAATGATTTTCTAAATGTAACTTAGATGTGGCACAAGACCGAATGAATAGGGGCACCCAGTGAGTATCAAACTCACTGCTCAGCTGTGATTGAGCTAATGAGATAAGCCTGGTAAACATTACACTACGACGAGGTCTCCGAAATGATTTTCTAAGCGTAGTTTAGATGCGACACAAAGTCGAAAGTGTGCAGCACCCAGTAAGGATCGAACTCACTACTCAGTCGTAACTGACCCAGGGAAACCAGCTTATTAACCATTACATCACATCAAAGTACGGAACTTCAGCTATATATTTTTGATATGGCTAAAAAATGTTAGTAAAATCAGCGCATAACCTTGTACATGAAGTCGAGTTTGAAAGACCTTCACATCGGGTTAGCCGCTCTGCTTAGATGGTATCCGACTGAATGTGTTCCCAAGAATGTTGATGGGATTCCCATGTCGGTAGTAGTCGGTGAGTATCTGATGTAAGGAATATGCATACGCCTGGGTTCCCCCTCACAGTAATATGATTGGCTGGCGTCAGCCATAAATACAAACTGAGGCGGAGGTACAGGACGACACCTATTGGCTACGCCTATAGTCTTCGCCTATTGCCTACCACTACGACGAGGACCAGTCCATTATGGTTACCTGCTAGATTGTCCTACCAGGTTACAGTAGTCAACAACCACTTTGCTACTTTGAACAAATATATCCCTTTCCCGGACATATCAGTATCCTTCATACTTAAAAATAACTCTTTCGACAATTATACTCACCAACTAGGGCCGCTCATGAACAGAGATGCTAATGTGTTGATTCCGAAGGAACATACAATTCCGTTCAAAAGTTTGAGGACACCCGGTATTTTTTTTAGATTGGCCCGAAAAGTAATTGTTTTTTTTAATTTAAATAAGAGCAAATTATTATACATGGTTTTAAAAAAAAAGTGAGGCATGATTTTTTTTATTAGAAATTCTAATACGACAAAAAGAAAATGATTAAATTTTACTCTCGTCAAAATAGCCTCCTTTAGCCATGATTACTGTAACAAAAATCATTGGCATTCGTTGCAAAAGTTTCTCAAAGTATAAGTTTGGTAATTGATTCCATTCTTTTTACAATGACTCTAAGACCACTTTTTCTTTTTTTTCACTCTTCTGTCAAGTTCATCCAATGGTAATTCTGGGAATTGCTTCAAACTTTTGAACTGTAATGTACCTAAGCAGTTATGGTCACACAGATAACAACCAGTTCTCTGGTAATGAATTGAAATTTATTGTAATGGTAATGTTAATATTAACTGTTTCCTTATAAGGAAATATTCGATAACCATTGACCAAACAGTGCTATTTTTTTTAAATTTATAAAATGATTCTCTTAAAAATGGTATTCAGGAAAAGCTCCTCAGGTCTGTTATTGCTCTTTTCAGTACTGACGGAAGCTTCCTTCCTAACCATTTTTTTAAAGTATCGCGGAACGTTAAAATCTTAATTGTGCCATACTTTTCTCTTCGAGTTGCAGGTGCTATTTATTTTCTTTGGTAGACTCCTTTATCTGTGATTCTGTTGCGTCAATCTACATAGTACAAAGAAGGATGGTCGTCGCGATGACCTACAGGGTTCATTCTCTGGAAGTCATTTTGAACCATTGCTCTCAGAATTCTTTTGCCGATCTTAATTCAAAGATGAGGAAAACAGTTGGAATAAAGATGAGAACAACAGTTGGAAAAGACAAAAAATAAAACAGAAAGAAAGAAAGAAAGAAAGAAATAGACTGGAAAACGGGAAGCTTAACTATAAAAGAGAAAACTCAGAAATAAAGAAAGAAAGAAAGAAAGAAAGAAAGAAAGAAAGAAAGAAAGATGTTCAATTAAGATAAAAGGAAGAAAGAAAGATGTAATTCACAAATGGATAACTGACAGAAAGAAAGAAAAAAAATAAAAAAATAAAGAATAAGCGATCGCTTAAATATGCCTAAAGGAAAAATTAAAAAAAAAGAATCTTAAAACAGGGAGAAAGAAAAAATCTGAATAAGGAGGATTGTTTCCTTTTTTTTTAATGAAGAAAACTATTGGGGAAAAAATAAAAGACAGGAAGTTAAGCAAAAGCTGACATCATTCATAATATTCAGGTATGAATTTCGGAGACTTTTTTATCGAAAAAGACACGGAGAGAGCAAACGATTTTACCTCATTTCACAATTTTCCTTTGACACTTCGATTTGGCTTCACGGCTTTTTAATACTGCGCATTTATTTTCATTTCTGTAATTTCGGCAGCCATTTTAAAGACGCATATTTCTTGCTAATCAGAATAGGCGGGCGGATTTCGGTCTCCCGTCACTAAAAGCGGATGTCAGAAATTCCCTGCAATTTCTCGAATTTTTTATGTCTTACATCTATTATTATTATTATTATTATTATTATTATTATTAATTCTTGCATGTAAGACATTAAAAGTCGCGCATTGAAAAGTGGACAAAGAACGCGTAGTCATCTATGCGCATGTCGACTATTTCCGGTGAGCTGAATTTTTTTTTTCACCCTGTCCCTACCCGTGTCGCATTTTATCCGCTTTTTCTAAGATTCCAGTAGTTTTTTTTTCTTCCGTTTTGATTCAGTGCAAATCGAAATAAAATTATGGAAAAAATAATAAAATAATAATATGAATGAAAAGGGCGAAAGAAATGTCGCACTTCAAGGGAGAATGGATAAAAAAAAAATTTAAAAAAAAATGTAGAAATCGAAGAGTCGTAAGACATGACGGCTTATTCAACAAGACTGAAAGAATATTTTTTTATGTGACACGCATGCACAGATGTAGAAAATAAATCAAGCAATATGAGGTATACCGAGAAAACACACACACACACACACACACACACACACACACACACATATATATATATATATATGGTCGTGCGGGTGGTGTAATGAATAGCACCTTGGAAGGAGATATCGATGAGTTCAAATTCCAGTCGAGTTTCTTATATTTACTTACGCATAAAATACCGTTGTAAAAAGTATGATTCCATCTCTTCTCGCCCCAGGTATGGGTTTAATTGGAGTCTTCAGTCTTGTGTGGCGGGCAACTTGTCTAAAAGAACAACAATTGTGAAATAAAAACCTGCAACTGAAGCTATATTTAGCACACTATAATCTGTAGACAATACGTGAGTTCTGATCTGATATTTTGATGTCAGAAAATGGTCTTGCTCGAAATTGAGTAGAGAGCAATCATATGAATAGATAGATAGATAGATAGATAGATAGATAGATAGATAGATAGATAGATAAACCTCGTGAGCCAGACAAACCTATCCAGGTTTCACCTAAATGAATCGTCAGGGAAAGCTGGCTCCCCAGATTGCAATCCCCTTGATTGCTTTCCCTGACGATCCGCTTAGGTGAAACCTGGGTAGGTTTGTCTGGCTCACTAGGTTTATCTAGGTCTGCTCTACGGTTGTATTGAGCTCTTTTGTTAGTTTTTTACTCGTGTCGGGGTTTTTTCTTTGGGCAT